AAACTGGGGCAGATAGAACATAAAGAAACCTTATTGAAATGTATCATGTCGCATCGGATTGAAGCTAAAGGCAAGTTTTCCCAAATTGACAGGAGTCGTTCGTGGTAATGAGAGTGAGAGTATTGTCCAATAGTGCTTTGTACTTAACAGATGTAGAAGGCAAATGTGTGGATATGGCTACCAATTCTGATGCAGTCAAAAGATATTATGTGTGATTTCTTTGGATTGTTTAATTGTGCCATTTGCATCTGGCATGCTTTGAAGATTGGAATGACGAAGGCATTTTGTTATGCTATCTAAACACTTTATCCTTTGTTACCCCCTTTGAGCCTTACTTACTTCCTTTCGTATCCCTCTTTTGGAATCAGTAACAAAGATCAAAAGCGCAAGCGCAAAAGATAAGTAAAGGAAAAAAGAGAAAAGAAAAGATGAAAATTGAAAAAAAAAAGAAGAAGAAAAGAGGAAAAAGAAGAAAAAAACAACAACAAAACAACAAAAAGAGAAAAAGAGTAAAGAAAAGAAAAGAAAAGAAAAAAAAGAGAAAAAAATAGAGAAAAAGAAAAAAAAAGAAGAGAGAGAGAGAAAGGTACAAAAACGAAGCAATTCCTATATCATGAACTACGTTCGACCTGATTCCTTTTAAGGATACGTAGGCAGCCTCACGGTTCGGTCTCATCAAAATAAAAATCTAAAAGTCCCCAAACAAGAAACTAGGGGCAGAAGTTGTGGTTGTTGTAAGAAATCTGATTCCGAAAGTTGTAATTTTGAACCCATTCAAATTGTTTTGAGCCTTTGATATCCTTTCTTTCTAACCCTATCCAAAAGCCCACATTACGGTACAAAGAAAGACCTTCCGATCAGTCTTCGAGAAATGCCAAGTCAAGCAAGTGGAGGTGATTCATATCAAGGGCAACACTCTAGTCCAAGCAGAAAATAATGAAAATGAGAGAGTCTTATTGGTGAAAACCCTCACGGGCACCGTAAGGCGACGGAAGCTGAGAGAAATAAAAAATGATAGAGTCTTATTGGTGAAAACCCTCACGGGCACCGTAAGGCGACGGAAGCTGAGAGAAATAAAAAATGATAGAGTCTTATTGGTGAAAACCCTCACGGGCACCGTAAGGCCATGGTAAGTTGAGAGAAACAACAAAATGAGAGAGGCTTGATAGTGAAAACCCTGCGGGCACTACAAGTCGAATAAGGATTGTGAATCAGATTGGATGATCGGAGTTTTGAAGCCCAGTTTCACGGTTTAGCGGTATAACAGGAGTTGAACATCAAGCTTGCTTAACAAAATAGGCCACAGGTGCATATCATGGTCATTAGAGTTGGTATCCACATCTGATAGGTTTCTACTTCGTAGCTTTCTTGTTAGGAATCATCCCTTTCTTTTGCCCTTTACTTTATTCCTTTTGTCTTGTTTACCTCCTCTTCCCGAGTCTGTTTGGTCATAACAAGTGAGAAATGATTTCAAAATTTGCCACCAGCTTTCTAATTGCACAAAACGGGATCTGGCTAGCACATCAGTCTCATAAGTCAGGAAAGAACAACAAGCGCACTGAGTTTGTAGCAATCAACATGCTTTGGGGTCCATGAGAAATACAAAGGTTTGGTATGTTTCAATTTGTGAACAGTGCAACAGATAGAGGATGTTGGGTGAAAGGGTCAAAGGTATTCTCTGTGATGAGATCAACAAAGAAAGTGGTTAACCAGTGACAAGTGAGGTCTTCCAAGCAGAAATCAAAGTTATCGTGACAAGTGAGGGAACAATAGACTTAAAGGCCAAGGCCAGTGATTTAAGTTAGGAAAAAAAAATAGCATATGCACTAAGTGGATGGCAATTAACGTTATTTGGGATTCATGTGAAACACAAAGGTTTGGTAGATGTCAGTTCATGAGCAATGCAATAGATAAAGGGTATTGGGTCTGAACGGAGAAGAGGTATTTTTTGTGATAAGGGTGACAGAGAAATTGGTTAGTCAATAAGCGAGCAATGTCTTTCAAGGTGAAATCAAAGTTATCATGGCAAGTGAAGGAGCAGTCGCCGCAAAGTCAAGGCCACAAACCAACCACCATGTTTAAACTCACAAGTTTTCTTTGTCTGAAACAGGGACGGAAGCTATGTTCATATCAAAGCTTGGAAGGTTGAAATTTTCAGGTGTAATGCCCCAATTCTGCTTACGCAAAGGCTATTGAGAAGATCACACATCAACACTAGGAAAAGCATTTCCTAGTCTGGGTTTTCAAGTTATGTTTTGCTCTAGGAGACNTCATTCGTGGGAGACACACTTCCTAGTTTGAGTCATTGAAGTTTCACCCCTAGGAGACGCACTTTCTAGTCTGGGTTTTTCAGGTTATATTTTTATTTTAGGAGACGCACTTCCTATATTGAGCTTTCCCCTAGGAGACGCAATTCCTGGTTCCACGCACTAAAGTTATACCCTTAGGAGACGCACTTCCTAGTCTAGGTCTTTTAGGATACACTTTCAGGAGACGCACTTCCTAGTTTGGATCGTATGAGTTTTAGTCACTGAAGTTCTCACCCCTAGGAGACGCACTTCCTAGTCTCGGTCATTTAAATTCATTCTTAGGAGACGCATTTCCTAGTTTAAGTCATTAATGTTCCACCCCTAGGAGACACATTTCCTAGTCTTGGTATTTCAAGTTATATTTTGGTTTACAATATTGCTAACAACTCACAAATCTTCCTAGTGCAAACTGGGGTAGAAAAATTTTCTTTGTTTTGTCTATTTTGTTGAAATCAGGAGCCCGCCTGGAGAGCAGGGAATACTTTCAAGCACAGCAGTCAGGAGCACGCTTGGAGAACAAGGGAGTACAATTTAAGTTTTAGCTTTCAAACTCTTTGTTTTGTCTATTATGAAGTCAGGAGCCCGCCTGGAGAGCAGGGAATACATTTCAAGTTGAAGTCAGGAGCCAGCCTGGAGAGCAGGGAATACTTTCAAGCGTAGCAATCAGGAGCCCGCCTGGAGAACAAGGGAGTACAAATTGAATTTTAGCTTTCAAATTCTTTGTTTTGTCTATCTTGAAGTCAGGAGCCCGCCTGGAGAGCAGGGAGCACTTTCAAGTTGAAGTCAGGAGCCCGCCTGGAAAGCAGGGAATACTTTTAAGTCAACAATCAGGAGCCCGCCTAGAGAACAAGGGAGTACAATTCAAGTTTTAGCTTTCAAGTTCTTATTGATATTTGGCAATGTGATCCATTTTACACTTACATCTGTGCCCAACCACCAAACCGGGGCAGAAAATTTTCTTTGTTTTGTCTATTTTGTTGAAGTCAGGAGCCCGCCTGAAGAGCAGGGAATACATTTCATGTCAGCAGTCAGGAGCCCGCCTAGAGAGCACGGAATACATTTCAAGTTAGCAGTCAGGGAACCCCGTCTGGGGAATAGGGTCAGTTTTTACTTTATTCAAGCTTAGTTTATAGTTTTCCTAGTCTATTCTTTAGTTTAATTTCATCACTGCATCAATAGTACAAGTGGTTTACAATTTTGCTAACAACCCACAAATCTTCCTAGTGCAAACTAGGGCAGAAAATTTCTTTGATTTGTCTATTTTGTTGTAATCAGGCGCCCACCTGGAGAACAAGGGGAAACAACTCAAGCTTCTAGGGAAAGCAGTGTCGAAGGAAGACAACTCGAGTTTCAAGGGAAAGCAGTTTCGAAGGAAGACAGTTCAAGTTTCAGGGGAAAATGGTTCAAGGTGCAAAGGAAAACAGTGTCAAGTAACAAGAGAAGACGGTTCGAGTTCAACAGTTAGGCGTCCACCTGAAGAAAAGGAAAAGCATCTCAGATTGCAATTCAAGTCAGCAACCAAAGAATCTCGCGGCAAGAATGCGAGTCAACAGTCCGAGGTGATCAATAGAAGTTAGTCACAATAAAGAAAAGAGAGAAAGGCAAGAAGTGAATCCAACTGCAGAAGTTGATGAAAGATGTGAACTGCTTAAGACGTGGTGGAAGCCACAAGCACTACATGTCCGGTCCTGACCCAAAAGCTGTAGAAGAACGAGCTAGCACCTATGGCTAACAAGCGCCAAGGTTCAAATCTAAAGTCTGCATGAAGAACCATTTAAGACTCAAAGTCAAGCTTCAGAAGACTTATAGATAGGAATCTTGTAACTCGGAGTTGATAGACTTAGCTAGTCTTTTTCATGTTTTGATTTTGATGTAATAGCAGGACTGCGGAATGGAACCTCGACGGAATGACACCTCGACCGGCTCTCCACCTCGGTATACTCCATCACCTCACTCATCTCTGAACTACACGTGGCCTGATTCCTTTATAGCCAAGGATATGTAGGCAGCCCAGATATCAAGGCTATGTCACATTCCCCTTTTCTCTTAATTTTAGTCTCTCCAAATAAGGGTCGGGTCAAAAACCTGTCTAGTCATTCTTTGTCTGAAATTACAACGTCTTTCCAGTCAAAGAGGGGCAGCTGTAGACATGTGATTTTTGACTCTCCCCAAGATTTTTCATATTTTAGCGCGTAACATTTAATTTAGGCATAAAATAGATATTTCAAGTAATTTTGGCTCTTTTACTTTATTTTATTACAAGAAAACAAAAATCACAATAAATAGATTCATTAATGTTTTGTAGTCATTTTTAATCTTAAAAAAAAATCTTTAAAAAATATAAAAATAGTATCGTATTTTTATTTTAATATGATATATGAAAATGCCAAAAATAGGTTTACTTTAATAGTTAGTTTTATTTTAGTAATTATTTGAATAGTAGGATTAATAAATGGGTCCGTATTTTTAATTTCGTTCGCAGAGAAAGAATAGAACTTGGGCCCGAGCAATCCATTTTCAGGCCTAATTTTGGACCTAGCCCACAATTTCCAAGCCCATAATTCCTAGGCCCATATCCCTTAACCTAAAAACCCTACCAAAACCTAGCACCTACAATATAAAAAAAGCCTAAGACTAAAGACTAGAAAATGAAAAAAGCTGAAGAACGAACAAAAAGCTGCGCANCCCAAACGACCATTTTTTCTGAATCTCATAGAGAACACCCAAAAACCAGCCCACCCCTTGAACTTCTGCGACGCCGACCAGCCCGAGCCAACAGCCACCACCCCACCACCATCTTCTCCACACGCACACATAGCTCCTCTTTCTTCTAAGAAATAACGTTCTTGATTCGAGATTTTCCTTTGCCATGGCTTTTAATTCGAGTTTTTCCTTCTTTTTGATTTTGTTTCACTAATATAATCAAAAAACAAAAAAAGGATTTCAGATGGTTTAGCTTCATTTTTAATTCCAAACTCAGAATACATAATGAGAAGTTAGTCTATTACGTTGGCTTCGATTTTCAAATGTTGGAGTTGATGTTCAAGTAAGGCTGTCAGTCGAGGTCGGAGCTCGCGATTATTGTCCCTAATTTATAGCTGATTTTTCGATCAAATTTCATCACCGAGTCGCGCACACAGTCGGGCGGAGCATATCTTTGTATTAACTGATCCTACTCGTTTTAAAAAAGGGCATATCTCAGGTCCATTTCTTGACTTCCTCCTCACTTATTTTGGCGACCTTATGTGCTTGAGAGTTTTTTTTAATTTGACTGAATATATCAGTGATGTGGTTTTATTAGTAGCCTGACTATTTGTTGTATATACTTCTTGTGTTATGAATGTTTTAAACTAATTGTTCTTGGTCAGAAATCACCGTAATTGGCTTGTCTTCTTTGATCGGTTAATTCGGCTAGTGCAACATTATGTTTGGATTTGAAAGAAACGGAGTCAAGAGTTCTATATTCATTGTCCTGTTTTATTGGTTTACTCAATTATATAGCAGTAGTAGACAATTTCAAGCGTTGTTAGTTTCGTTTGTGAATTGGAGATTATTAGTTTGAAATCAATTTATAGACTTGTAACTACAAGGCAAGGATAACTATTTTTAAGTGGCTCTTGTTGTGATTTGATTCACTCCATACATTCTTATATTTGGGCCGTTGAAACTTTATTATTGTTTATTAAATTTCTTTGATATTCTTGATGAAATACATGCATTTAGATGTCGTAATCATCTGGTCCAATTTACTGGAAATGGGTTGTGGGGTTAGACATTAAATATAGAAAGTTGAGTTTATAATGTTAATCATTTACTTTATTACTTATCTGTCAGTAGCACGCCTAGGCCATCAATAAAAATGAATTTTGTAGTTTACTTTAGGCGCGTTAATTAAACAATTATCATGGCTACGGGTATGGCTCCCGTGATGTAGTTGTGATTTATAACTACTAAAACTCGGGTGCGCATTTATGTGACCCAAATCTAAATTCGAACAACGTTAGATAAGATGTATTGCAGACTGCGGGTGCATTTATGTGACGTGGTTCAAAACGCATTTTATGTGACGTTGAATCTTCCTAAAAATATTAAATAAAAGCGGTTATAAAGTTAAAATTTAACCATAGGTTAAAACATGTTTTAAAAATCAGATAATTAAGCTGAATATAACAGTTGAGAGATCGTGCTAGAACCACAGAACTCGGGAATGCCTAACACCTTCTCCCGGGTTAACAGAATTCCTTACTCGGATTTCTGGTTCGCGGACTGTTAAACAGAGTCAAATTTTTCCTCGATTCGGGATTAAACCGGTGACTTGGGACACCATAAATCTCCCAAGTGGCGACTCTTAATCTTTAAATAAATAAATCCCATTTCGATTGTCTTTTAATTGGAAAAACTCCTTTATACCCTTCTCCGGGGTTGTAGTGTAAAAAAGGGAGGTGTGACATCTATACAATGCCATGGAATTAACCAGATCACAATTCTCATGATGCACGCCCATCACTTGGCATGTGCGTCACCTCGATACCAATCACATGACCATTATTCGGGGTTTCGAACCCTCAGAACCATGTTTGAAAGCGTTACTTACCTCAAACAAGCAAAATCCTATTCTGCAATGCCTTTGCCTCTCAAATCGGCCTCCAAATATCCCGAATTTATCCACAAGCAATACAATACGATCAATATAGGCTAAAGGAATCAATTCCATAAGAAAAATACCAAATTATATCCTAAAATCCGAATTCGGCTCAAACTCGGCCCCTGGGCCCACATCTCGAAATTCGACAAAAGTCACAAAACTAGAAAGCCCATTCACTTACGAGTCTAACCATACAAAATTTACTCAAATCCGATAACAAAATCTCATTCAAAACCCTGAAATTCTAACTCAAGAACACTTCATCTTCTTCCCCAAATTTTCCACCCAAATCACAATTTAGATGATAAAATGTCACGGCCCAAACCGATAGGTCGCGACGGGTGCCTGAGTCCTACCTGTCAAACACCCCTAATCATGCGTCTAAGATATGAAACTAAATAACATCTACTGCATTACGAAATTAGCATACGTGAAGGAAACCTATCATTAAGGCATATGTACGTATACATGTAGAATACAGTGGGCGAGCTGGCAAGGCTACTATAGATAACTATACATCCAAAATCAAAAGCCGACAAGGCCACATACAACCCAACTAGACACACTGTCCACAGACCTCTAACAGTAACATAACTATACAAAGACGGGACTGAGCCACGTCATACCCATATATATATATATATATATATATATACGAACGTATCGTACCAGGATCAAAAGCAGCTCCGGATCAAATTGAGCACGCCAACTTTCATTGATCAGGGATCCTAAGAAGGGGGGCCATCAGCTTGCCTACCTACACCTACGGGCATGAAACGCAGGCCCTGTAAAATTGGGCGTCAGTACGAAAAATGTACTGAGTATGTAAAGCATGAAAATTAGTACGTAAAAGACATAGATGAAACATGGAATACAGAAACACATCTTTAAATCTGAATAAGTTTGTAAATTCTTAAACGTTTATAATGTCATGCACGTGCATATAAATGTCGTGTCATGCATAAGTATGGGTGTACATAATATCATCAAGCCACTGAGAGCATCCCATCATATCGTCTCGATCATTGTGGGCAACATCATCAACATATACCAGCTGATCAGGTGGTGGTGCGTATATAACGCCGTAACCTTTTCCCATATCCCATATACATATATTTACATATATACATGTATATAACGCCATCTGGTCATGGGTCAATGCACATGTATAAATGAGTGAAATGCATGAAAAATACGTAATAATCTCAATATTCCTTTCGGATAAACTTTTTCAACTGTGTATTATTCTGTGACCCATGAATAGAAGATAATAACAATTCTTATGGGGAATCAAGAATATAGACGCCCCTACTGTTTCTATGAATAGAGTAATTTATAAAAACTAGGTATTTGCTCGTTCTTCAATATAATTTGGATCACGCCAAAAGAAAGAAGGGAGGGCATTAACATACCTGGAGTAGGGAAAACTCCGTATAATATTTCATTGGAAAACCTTCGTTGATTGAACCAGATTTGCCTCCGCCCCTTAAAAATTCGTGGACGAAAACTTGTTTCTGGTTGTTAAAAACTATGGAATGAAACAATTCTAGTTTCTTGAAATTGAAAGGTAAACGTTTTTGAGAATTGAGGGGAACACGTTTTTGTCCTTTTGAAGTTTGGAAAGAATTGAATTCATTTTGATTCATAGAAACAGCATCTGACTTAGTTAGTCATCACTTTTTATTTATGCCTAGGTGGAACTTATTAGTCACATTCTTGACATGGTGGATGCTTTCTATGTGTTTGGGAATAATTTATTAATTATTTATCCACTTATTAGTTAACTGGATAATGTTCTGTTACTCGATAAGTAATCAATTACCCGCATAATTTGAAAATTACCACAAATTACTTAAAATTTTATTTATTTTTAAAATACTTCATATCTACTTTATATATATTATACTACCGTGGTCATATGGTATCTTGCATGATACTAGTTCATAATTATCGGGTATTATCGCTCGACCCATATTTTATTCCAAATTGGTCACATTCAACGAAACTCGTTTTCTTTAATCCATGTACCCCCTTATCCTTCATAACACTTATTTATCGCTTGTTATAAATAGCGTAAGTACGTTAATGTCAAAATGATCTCATCCTTGAATCTACGTTAGTTAACTGAAAACGAAATTTTAACGTACAAAAACGCGAGATGTAACATCCTTCCACCCTTAGAAACATTCGTCCTCGAATGTTCAACTCCCTATGATCCATATAACTTTGGCAGGGTCGCCTTTGTAACAACACTACTACCAACTCTCCCTGTAGAAGCTTAATAATCCAACGCCACACCAGACCACAATTATCAATAACGACAATGGCCTCACATGACCAACGACAATAACCAACACAAGAATTTATACATGTATCTTATGATTATGACCTCTCAGTCGGACCCTTCTTTGGAGGAGGAAATAAGTAGGGATATCTAGACTTCATGTTTTCCTCGGCCTCCCAAGTTATTTCTTGCACATTGTTGTTTCTCCAAAGTACTTTCACGGAGGCTACCTCCTTATTCTGTAGCTTACGGATTTGTCGGTCTAGGATGGCAACCGTAATTTCATCGTATGATAAGTCTTCTGTAACCTGTACATCATTTATGGGCACTACTCGGGTAGGATCGCCAATGCACTTCCGTAACATTGATACGTGAAAAACCGGATAGACAGACTCTAACTCCGAGGGCAATTCTAACTCATAAGCTACTTGTCCCACTCTCCGAATGATCCTATAAGGCCCAATACACCGTGGGCTAAGTTTTCCTTTCTTTCCAAACCTCATCACACCTTTCATAGGTGACACCTTTAAGAATACCCAGTCATCAACCCCGAACTCTAAATCTCATCGCTTCACGTCAGAATATGACTTCTAACGACTTTGAGCTGTCAATAGTCGATACCGAATCAACTTTACATTTTCTATGGCTCACTGAACCAGGTCTGGCCCGTGTAATCCAGATTCTCCAACATCAAACCACTGTATTGGCGACTACACCTCCGCCCATAAAGAGCTTCGTATGGAACCATCTGAATACTGAAATGGTAACTATTATTATATGTGAACTCAATAAGCGGCAGATGATCATCCTAGCTACCTTTGAAGTTTATTACACAAGCTCGTAAAATATCCTCCAGTTTCGGAATAGTACGCTCAGCATGTCCGTCTGTCTTAGGATGAAATGTTGTACTAAGACTTACTTGAGTCCCCAATCCTTTTTGGAAGGACCTCCAGAAGTTAGCTGTAAATTAAGCTCCTCTATCTAAGATAATAGATACAGGGACACCATGTAGTCGTATTATCTCTTTTGGTATAAAGCCTCGCATAATCCTCTGAGGAATATGTAGTTCTAACGGGCAGAAAATGGGCTGACTTTGTAAGCCTATCAACAATCACCCATATTGAATCGAACTTACGCTAGGTACGAGGCAAGCGTATGATAAAGTCCATATTGATTATTTCCCATTTCCAAGTCAAAATCTCCACATCCTGCAATAATCCACTGGGGTTTGATGCTTAATCTTAACTTGTTGACAGTTAGGGCGCTGAGCAAC